TTCAGACTCATCATCATCAGACTAGGACACAATAAACCTCTTCTTTTGTTTCTTGAGATAGGTGGTACATTTTGACCTAATATGACCAAAATATTCACATTCATGACACTGAATACCTTTTCATTGGTTAGGGTTCTCTTATGTTCTTCCTTTTCTCTGAAAGTCACTATTCTTGTTGATGTCAAATGACATGTCCTTGACATTTGATCTTTGTTGCCTATCCATTCTCTTCAGAACTCTATTGAATCGCCTTTCAAGAAGAACAATAGCATTAGAAATACCTTGATCAGTCTCTAAGTCATGTTAATCTTCTTTATCCTTGTTGTTGGAGATAAAAGTTATGCTTTTGTTCTTCTTTTTTTATCTTTCATTATTAGCCAATTCAAAAGTTTGGAGTGACTCAATCAGCTCTCCCACTTACATGTTACAGATAACTTGGGATTCTTCTATGGTTGTGACCTTCATGTCAAACTTCTTTGGTAGAGACCTAAGGATTTTTCTAACAAGCTTTTCTTTTGACATCTTCTCTGCCAAGGCACTGGATGCATTTGAAATGTCAAGAATACTCATGTGAAAATCATGAATACACTTATCATCTTTCATCCTGAGATTTTCAAACTTTGTGGTGAGAAGTTGAAGTCTTGACATTTGGACTTTGGATGTGCCTTCATGCGTGGTTTTAGGAATTTCCCATGCATATTTGGCCATAATACAGGTGTTTACTAATCTGAATATATTTTGGTCAACCCCATTTAACAGAGCATTCAAAGATTAGGGGTTCCCAAGAGAAAGTTCATCTTCTTCCTTATACCAATCTTCTTTTGGCTTTAAAACAGTAGTATCCTTCCCATCTTTGTTTGCCAACACAGGATGAACCCAACCTTTGACAACTGCTTTCCAGGTTTTGCTATCAATAGATTTTAGAAAGGCAATCATACATGCTTTCCAATAGTCATAGTTGGTGCCATCCAACATGGGATATATGTTTTTATTTCCTCATTCCTTGTCCATAGTGCCCAAAAATATCTTCCCTGGAGCTCACCCGAAATAGAACAGGGTGCCTGCTCTAATGCCAATTGAAATTCTGACACTTTATAAAACATATGTCACATGTCGAATACAATGTGAAGACGTCACGGACTAGACATTTAATAATATAAGGAACAATACATAAAGTAAATAACATAGTTCAATTGTTAACCAGATCGGTGCAACGTCACCTACATCTGGGGGCATCCAAGCCAAGAAGGAAATTCACTCTAATAGTATTAGTTTGAAGTTATGAACAACCCATATTTTATAATCTTCTCACCTAATCACTACCCGTGCAATTTCTACCTAGGAACTCCTATATATGAGACCCATCTCACTTCCCCTCAGTCACACAACAGTGACAATTACAACAAAGATTATCAAAATAGAAGATACACTTATAATTAAACAGAACGCACTACTGCTTCACAACTTATGAGTGGTTCACAAATTAAACCTCAACTAAAGAGTCCAACTCATGTATCAACAAGATACAAGAGTGGCTCACAATGAACAATGAACAACAAAAAGACGAAACCCTAAAGTTTATACTCTCATGTGCAGCTTCGTATCTTCTTTAGGTTTACAATGCTTCTTTTTGTAGCCACAAAAGCGTCTGGGCTTGAATATTAAATCTGGCCAAACAAATATTCTGCAAATCAAATCAAATCAAATCTTCTGGTGCATAATTATATGCTCTCAATAATATTTTGATATTCTATTTTGAGAGCTAAATCTTCATATATTTCTGTGTTGCAACAAATCTTTAGTAAATCAAATATCCAAATTCGTTCTTTGGTCTATAATAAGGAACAACAATCAAAACTTTTAAACCACAAAACAAATCTTTCAAAACTAGAAACGTCAGAGTTGCAATGTTGTACCAACATGTCTTAATATCTTATTCAACATTTTACTAAACTAGTTATTTTAATAAAATATAGTCAACAAACCAACACATAACACATATGATAATAAAAAATAGTGAATAATTGATATAATAGTTTTTAAATGAGTTTATAATTGATAGTTTTTAAATTAGCTGATGACTGATAATAAATAAAATAGTTGATTGAATTTGTAATTTTGGTAAAGTTATTTTTAAGTTAGTTGATGACTTATAATGAATAAAATCGTTAATTAAATTTGTAATTTTGTTAAAGTTAGTGGTTGTATTGACTTATAATCATAAAATAACATAAATAATTAATATTTAATTATTTTTTATTTTTTATATAATAATAAAGTTAATAAGAATAAATTTGAGAAAAAAGTGAAAAAGCTATAAACTTCAAACTATAAACTACTTAAATTAGTATATACAAATTATAATTCACGCAGAATATGAGCTCATTTATGATACATAAACTCAGCTCATAATATGAGCTCAGCTCAAAACTATAAGCTCATTTATATCTACCTAACGCTTTAATTTCAATTTATAAAGAGCATTTGAAAGTTTCCCTTTTGTTATATACTAGTCATTTGTCATCAGAACCTTAAAAACAATATTCATAACAAGAAAATGAGATATACGAGATAGAATTGTTATTAACGTCAAAAGATATTGGCGATATTTTTCAAAACCTTAGGTTAGTATATATATTTTGAAGTTTGAATAACACAAAAAAGTCTCTAATTTTACGAGTCCTTTTCATTGCAAGTTCTATAATTTCACCAATGTAGGTTACGTCAAACAGAGGCAACTGATTCAGTCAATTTTTTCTATTCTTTTTAATTATTTCTTAGTTGTTACTTCTCCTTTAATTGATTACTTAATGGTTTCAGATATTGACATTAGACATAGACATCTACCAATAGAGAAAGAGCCTATGATAAAGTTTCTTTTACTTGTAACCACAAAAATTTCAACTTATAATTTCTAGGTCTAGTTTGGATTTCAAAAAGCATGGTCAAGTTTGGATTAACTCAATACATATACTCATGAACAAGTTGATGATCGAAATAGTATGATACATCCATAAGCTATTTATTTAAAAAAAGTTATCTCTAGCTTTGAAAATATCTTTATGGATAAGTTAATTAAAATTGTTGGTGCAAGGTGATGAAATTGAGGAAGAAGAGAGAAAATGATTAATGATAAAAAGCTGCTACTAATTATTGAAAGAAGGATTGTATTAATTAATAAAATCAAGTACACTTATTTATACACAAAAATAGTAAAGATAAGAATGTCACATAGGCCTTAAGAGAGAATATTTCAAATATAGCAAATACTAAACTACCCCTTTAATACCGTCCCTTAATTTAGTATCTATCAGAAATTAACAACACCAATTTCATTCATCAAATGAAGAAATTGGTCTATTTTGATTGCCTTCGTCAGAACATCTTTCAGCTGCTTCTGAGTGCTACAGTGCAGAACTTTTAACACTCCTTTCTGCACTTGACTTCTCAGAAAATAATACTTCGTCTCAATATGCTTGCTTCTTCCATGCAACACTGGATTCTTGGCAAGATTGATTACAGACTTGTTATCAATCAACAACTTCAGAAGTTTCTCTATCTCAATCTTCAAATCCTCCAGAAGATTCAGAAGCCAAACAGCTTGACATGCAGCTACAACACCTGCAATGTATTCAGCTTCACACGTTGACAGAGCCACAATAGACTGTTTCTTGGAACTCCAAGAAATTGGACCTTCCAGAAACTTGAACAAGTAACCAGAAGTACTTCTTCTGTCAACTCTGTCTCCACACCAGTCGGAATCAGAATAATTCACTAATTCTGGTTCTGTCTTTCTTCCAGAAGGAAATAGCACTCCATATTTCATAGTTCCATTGATATACCTCAGAATCCTGACAGCAGCTTGGTAATGAGACCACTTTGGTTTACTCATGAATATGCTAACCATTTCAACTGCATAGCAAATGCCAGGTCTAGTATTTCACAAGTACCTAAGAGAACCAACCAACTTCTTGAAGGTCGTAGCATTCACAGAATCACCATCAGAATCAGAATCCAATTTATGATTGGTTTTTGATTGTGTCACAGCAACTTTGCAATTCTGCAGCTTAAATCTCTTCAGAAGTTCAAGTTCATACTTCAGCTGATGTAGAATGATATCCTTCTTTGAGTACAGAATCTCCATTCCTAGAAAATATACCATATTTCCCAGATCTGTCATCTCAAATTCATTCATCAAAACTTCTTTGAACTTGATTATATCTTCTGGACAACTTCCTGTTAGCAATATGTCATCAACATATAAACACACCAGAATCATATTGCCACCAGAATGTTGCACATACACGCCATATTCCATCTCACATTTCTGAAACGTATGCCTCTTGAAAAACGAATCAATTTTCAAATTCTAAGCTCTGGGCGCTTGTTTCAGTCCATACAAGGCTTTATGTAACTTGTATACCATCCCTTTCTGATTCTTTTTCACAAATCCATGAGGTTGTTACACATATACCTCTTCTTGTAATGGACCATTCAGAAATACAGACTTCACATCCAGATGTATCAAAGGCCAATTTTGGTTTGCAGCTAAAACAATCATTAGTCTGATTGTTTCATATCTAGCTACAGGCGCAAACACCTCAAAGTAATCTAGCCCAGGTTTCTGAAGAAAACCTCTAGCCACTAGTCTCGCTTTGTGTTTGCCAATTGATCCATCTGACTTAAGCTTCACCTTGAAAACCCATCTGACGTTGATGGCTTTCTTCTTTTCTGGAAGCTTTGTCAACTTCCAAGTTTTGTTTCTTTCAATAGCCTCAAGTTATTCCTTCATGGCATTCAAACATACTTTCTTCTTGAGAGCTTCTTCAATACCTACTGGTTCGGAATCTACTAACATGGCACACTAAACGACTTCTCCTTCAGAATCTACTTCAGTATCATGCAACATGCTAAAATCTGCAAACTTACTTGGTATTTGTATGATTCTCTGGCCTCTGAACTTGTTCTGAAGCTTCTCCAGAACTCGGAACAGTGCTAGCTTATGGACCTTGTCCAGAACTACTTCCTTCAGAATTACCACCTTCAGAGTTACTTCTGAAAGCTTGTCCTCCAAACCCTATGTCTTCAGAGTTTTCTCTTCCAGAAATATAATCACCACCAGAATCTGGATCATCATCAGAATAGGGATCAAAATCAGATCCACTATCAGAATCTCCCTGAGATTCTGACTCATCTTCAGAGTCTTCAGAATCAGATTCATCTTCTGACTCTGACTCGTCTTCAGAACTTTCTGAAGAATCTTCAGAAACTAACTCTGGTGTTGGCGCTACACCAGAATCTGATTGAGGCTTGTTCCAATCCCATGTTTCTGACTCTTTCACAATAACGTCTCTGCTGATTTCAACTTTGTTGGTTTCTGGACAATAAAAATTATAGGCACATGTATTGTGGTACCCCACCAGTAACATTACTTTGCTTCTATCATCCAGTTTCCGTCTTCTAGCTTCTGGAACGTATTTGTAGCATACAGAACCAAACACCCTCAGATGGCTAACACTTTGCTTATCTCCAGTACACTTTTCTAAAGGAACAATTTCCTTCAGCTTCTTCTTTTGACACCTATTCAGAACATATGTTGATGTGGCAACAGCTTCTCCCCATAACATGTGAGGTAGCTTCTTCTCTTTCAGCATACTTCTGGTCATATCAAGCAAAGTTATGTTTCTTCTTTCAACAAGACCATTGTGTTGAGGAGTATATGGAGCATTAACCTCATGTTCTATTCCATTATCCTCACAGAACTTCTAGAACTTTGTAGAGTTATACTCACCTCCACCATTAATTCTCAAAATCTTCAGCTTTTGACCACTCTGCTTCTCAGCCTTCACCTTGAACTTCTGGAACTCAGTAAACACTTCATGCTTGAACTTGATGAGTGTTACCCATGTCACTCTTGTGAACTCATCCACAAAAGACACAAAATATTTGTTTCCTCCAAATGAAGATACTGGAAATGGTCCACACACATCAGAATGTACTACTCTCAAAGCATGCTTTGCTCTGGGGGATACTTCTGATGCAAATGGGAATCTGGGTTGCTTTCCTTTCATGTATATCTCGCATGTCTTCTCAAGATTCACAATATTCAAAATGCCATGTACAAGCTTCTTAGAACTTAGATTCCATAAGCTTCTATAGTTCAAGTTCCCCAACCTCTTGTGTCGCAGCTTACTGTCACCTCCAGCGCCTTCTGCACTAAGACACTCTGCTTCAACTGTTTCTACATTCACCTTGAATATTCTGTTGCTTCCCTGCTCAGACTTCATAATCAACTTCTGATTAGAATCATATAACGTCAAGAGGTTGTCCTTCATAACAACTGAGAACCCTTTCTCAATGAGTTGACCCATACTCATCAGATTGCTTTTAATTCCAGGAACATACCAAACATCTTTGATCAGAATATTTTTTCCATTCTTCACTCTGACTCTGACATTTCCTATACCTTCTACATTAAGATACTCATCATCAGCATATTTGATCTTTGTTCTTCTTCTGGAGTCAAAGTCTATCAGCCATTGTTTGTTCCCAGTCAAGTGGTTTGAACAGCCAGTGTCCATATACCACCAATCTTTTGAATACTTTCCATCATAATCAGAAGCCATCAGTAGCACAGGTTCATCATCATAATCTCCTCTGGCTATATTTGCTTCTTCTGATTTCCTTCCTCTATTTCTACAATCTCTGGCAAAATGGCCAAACTCTTTACAACAGTAACATTGAAACTTCTTCTTGTCATACATTTTATTTCCCTTCTGATATTTCTTTTCATCAAAAGGTGAGATTTCTGACTTCTGGAATTTATCACCACGTCTATTCTGCTTCTGGTCCTTCTTGACAAAAGAAGTCTTCAGAGCTTGCTCCACTTCCCTCTCAGAAGTTCTTTCAATCAGACGCAACTCATGCGCTTCTAGACTGCTTTGCAACTCTTCTATTCTCATGGTTTCCAAATTTTTAGAATGTTCAATAGAAACAACAATGTAATCAAACTAAGGAGTAAGTGACCTCAAAATCTTCTCTATGATTACCTGTTCAAAAATTGTTTCTCCACAAGCTTTCATCTCATTAGTGATCCGAATCATTCTGGAGATTTACTCGGAAACTTTCTCACTGTTCTTCATGTTGAGATTCTCATATTGCTTTCACAGGGACTGAAGCTTCACCTTCTTCACTGACGCGTCACCACCGTAACATCTGGCCAGTATATCTCATGCCTCTTTCGACGTCATCGAATCAACAATCTTCTCAAACACACTTTCATCCATACACTGATGGATATAGAACAGAGCTTTCTAATCCCTCTTCCTCGTAGCTCTTTCTGCAGATCTTTGTTCTTCAGTAGCATCTGCTACAACTGGAATATAACCATTGGTAACAAGATCCAGAACATCATGAGCACCAAACAGCACACGCATCTGTATCATCCATCTGTTTCAGCTTTTGCCATCAAAAACTGGAAGTTTAGTGTTCAGACTACTGCTTCCACTCATCTTAAACCTTACACAAATCTCAGATCTCAGATTCTCACTCAGTGTTTCCCAAACCCACAGAAACAGTGTGATTCTGTTCAGATTTTATTGAAGATGCAACAGAAATCAAACACACAGCTCACTTTTCACTTGTGTTTTCCAAAATTTCAGAAGAACCAGACTCTCATACCAATTTTGTTAGTGCAAGGTGATGAAATTGAAGAAGAAGAGAGAAAATGATAAATGATAAAAAAATTGCTACTAATGATTGAAAGAAGAATTGTATTAATTAATGAAACTTGATACACCTATTTATACACAAAAATAATAAAGATAAGAATGCCACATAGACCCTAAGAAAGAATATTCTAAATATAACAAATACTAAATTACCGCTTTAATAAAAATAAACTCTAACATTAAAATGTTAACATTATTGGCTACGAAAGGCTTAGTATCCTGTAATTTGGAACAGAAAATTGTGGCCCCTGAACTTCTATTGACCTATACTTTTGGTTGAGTTAGAAGAAAGTTTCACCACAAATAATAGAAGCCATGAAATAAGGAACCCGTGTGATATTTGTTTGTTGTTCTTTATCACTACAAACTGAGCTATCTCTATAGTCTCACTCTTATCTGCTTATCGCTCCATTTTATTGTTTTCTATTTTTGGATTAACTCTATTTCACAAAATGTTCAAAATAAGACTGTGGAGTAAATTATAACTCATGAATGCCAGCAGCCACCACAGCATATCAATGACAATGACTAGGATTTGGATAGCTCCTATGATATTTATCTCTTTATATATAAAAATATATCTATCTAAATTTGAAATAAGAATTTAAATATATCTATCAGTGGAGGCAGTATGGCGGTCAACTAGAGGTATCACATTCACAAGGGTGGCAGTCTGGTGATGTCGAGGGAGACTAGCGAGCAAAAGGTTGGGACAGGTCCAACAAATGGCAGGAATCAGGTTTGGTTGTTTTGGTTCATGAATCCGATGATAAAATATTATAAATGTTTTTTATATTAATTTAGAGATACTCTATTATATTAAGAGATACGTTTTAAAATACTCTAAATTAATATAAAAGATATTATAAGATATTTATAATTGTTTTTTAATTATTAATGAGTTGTGTTTTGGTTTAGTTAAAGATCTATTGGTTCTTAGCAATTTTAAATAGATATATCATTCTTTTTTTCACAATCTTTAGAACGTAGTCTCAAAGATAAATGAAAGAGGTGACAAATCTATGAAAAACTTAGAAAAACAAGGGTTGAAATTCTTAGGATTGGGTTCTTAGACTTTGGGAAATGTTTGAAGGTATTAAAGAGGATTATCAAACACTTCTAAACACATTGGACTCGTGTGACTCATATATATAGAGAGTTAGAAAAATTGAGAAACACTTGGAATAGAAAATATGGGTTGTTCTCGGGATCTTGGTTGACTATTTTATTTTAACTCTTTTGCAATCACTTGTTATAACTTTTGGAACTATATTGAATTGAAGAGATGTTCTCCCCTCCTGCAAAGTAAATCATTTGATCGAAATGAGTAAATAAGTTATTGTGTTATGTCGTTTGTATTCTTTTAGCGTATTATTTATTTGTCTTCACTCTTACCAGGTTATTGTGTTGTTTTAGGCCATTCATTTTAGTTGAAATTATTCTCTATCTCCACACATCAAATTTCATATTGTGTTTGAACTTTAAATAATTCTATCAAGTGCTTTTGAGTTATTCGACCACTACGGGTCAAAGTAGTTTTGTTTACAGATGACTACCATGAGTTATAAATGAAAGATCAATAGGTTTTTTAGAGACAACAATTTTGAGTTGTGGAAAGTGAAGATGTAAGTAATCTTAACTCATGATAAATGTATTGAAGCATTGAAGGGTGATGTTCAATGCATGCATGCCTAACAGAAGCAGAGAAGACCGAGATAGAGGATAGGGCCATGAGTGCCATTATTTGTGCCTTAGGAAAAAAACTGAATCATTGTATATGACCAAGTCGATGGCTTATATGTTGTGTTTGAAACAAAAACTCTACTAATTCCAAATGGTATATAATAAATTCATAGTGTAATAGATAGAATTTTAAAATATCATCGATGATATGGAGAATGAATATTGATGTGACAGTTGATAATGAAGACAAGGCAAAACTCTTGTTAATCACGTTAGCGAGATCCTTTGAGCACTTCAAGGATGTCATTTCTTATGGTAATGAATATATTATTACTTTGGATGAAGTTTTGACGTCTATGGGATCTAAGGAACTTTAAAACGCGAAATATTTTAAGATTGACTATAGAAGTGAAGGCTTGAGTGTCTCAAAAGGAGAAAGTGAACATAGAGGGATTTCAAAATCAAAGAGATTTGACAAGTCAAAGGTAAAATGCCCCGGTTCTCATAAAATCTATCACTTTATGGGGGATTGTCATGAGAGAATGGGAAATGATGATTGTGTTTAGATTATAGTTGACTCAAATAAAGTTAGTTATAAGAGTGTTGGTGCACTAGTTTTGTTGAGTTTGGAGATTGAAGAGAGTTGAGTCATAGACTCTGGTTGCTCTTACCCCATGTGTCCAAAAAAATACTTTGAGACTTTGAAGTTGGAGGAAGGTGGAGTAGCTTGCCTTGGGGATAATAAATATTGCAAGGTTCATGGTATTGGTACAATTATACTTAAAATGTTTGATGATCGTGAGTTTCTGCTTCATAACATGAAGTATGTTCCAGATCTTATGAGAAATTTGTTATTCATAAGCATATTTGATGATTTAGGCCATTGCACTTGAGTTGAACAAGAAGTGTTGAAGATTTCATATGGTAGAGTGATCATGGATAAATGTTCAAAAAATATGTGGGTTATATATATATATATATATATATATATATATATATATATATATATATATATATATATATATATATATATATATATATATATATATATATATATATATATATATATATATATATATATATATATATATATATTAGAAGGTTATGATGTTAGTGTTTATTTATCATGTACTAGTGAATACTTTTATGATAAGAAAAAAACTATAGTATTTGAGGTCAAGGACTGGTGGATAACGAGGGGTTGTTTTACAAAACTTTAATGAGTTTTGAAAGAGATAAGGGATATAAATACAATTGACCATTGAGGTGTCATTGAGTTTCTGAGGCAAGGCTGGTTACAAAGCAGCTTACTTTGTCGTCTGGTGTCCATTCACAGGAATAGACTTCCAGACACTTATGGAGGTTTGTAGTAGGAAGCCTAAAAACTACTTTTATTTGAAGGCAATTGTTACAATACAGAAGTAAGTATATTTTTATCATATCCACGTAGACTGGGTCTGTTTCAAAGATTGTTCAATAGTTTATATGATTTTAAGGATGATTTATCATGTGTTGTTTGTTTGTGAAATTTGAAATAACATAAAGCAAAATGAACTTTGGTATTAACGATTGAGAAAACTTGTTGGGGTTATATTTCATTGACATGTTCTAATGTATGATCGTGATCAATAATATGCAATTCTATTCAGCTATTAATATTATCGTCCATTGCTCTGCATGGTAGCTCATGTTTGAGTTAACAATGTGAGATTGATTGTATTTATTAATAGACGATCTCTCAGTCTATTAAACAATATGATAGCATTAAGCTTTGATAATTCAAACTAATACTGGATCTAAATCTATCTCTAGATTTTAGAATATCCAATAGTTGAAAAGCTTGGATCTAGTAATGACCAGTACCTTTCAAATATCAAGTCAAACTATGAAAACACGTTTTAGGTAGCTAATCCAAAACAAGCATTACAAACAAATAATTCATCAATATTAAAGCATGGGAGATATTACATAAAACTCCATGATCGCACACTGACGTGTATGTCGGATAATAATTGCAAGTGTACAATCTATCGAGTAGTTTTAAAAGATTATCGAACCCACAAAGACTAATAATCAAACTAATGTTATCTATGTTGTAATACACAACTAAGGCTAAAGGTTAAAATGGATACGAACAGAAATGTAAATGATAATTGCTAAAGGTTTGGAATTGATGACAAAGCGAATCTATAGTATAGATTTCGTGCTTCTACAGGACTTGTAGAATAAGGTACTAATTATGACTTTTATGAATTCTGTAGAAAATATATACTTAAAGGTTTCATCTCACACTCTTGCGCTTTTGATAAAAACCACACCTCCTAACTACGAGATTTTGCTCTCGCTCGCCCGTTCTAATTAGAAAGAATATTTTGAAAGCCAATGATATCCTAAACAATGACTAAAGCGCTCTCACTGTTTTTAGGATCGATGCCTAGTTTCCACTATGCAGTTCATTCCTTACACTCTCGCGCTATCGGAACAAACATATGTTTTTTCTTCACTCTCATGTCAGAACAATAAATTACACAATTAGAAACTGAGACCAGAACAACATATAATCATAATTTCGCACCTATAATTTCTACTGAGTTCTGTTGGTAACAATGATCCTCGTACGCTAGACTCAAGCGAATTTAGCAAGACATAATTGTAATTGAAATGAACATGTTCAGAGCAATTGTGTGTAAGGTTAACATATCATGCAATGTAATATAGAAGATGGAAAGCATAAATAAATAAACGATTATAAACCTGAATTTAAAGAAATGAAACTTGAATTGATACGAAAATGTTGGCAGGCTTGCTTTTATCCAAGAGTACAATACAAAAGTAAAAAGAAAACAAGTGTGACAATCCCTCGATGTGAGTTATTGTCACTTTTACAGGTGAATTTATGCCTGAGACTATAACGCTAATTCGACAGCGCTTCCGCACGACTTGGATGCCAAGAAAACTGACCCAGAGGTCCTATTAAGAGATAGAGATAGAGAGAGAGAGAGAGAGAGAGAGACAGACAGACAGACAAACAGACAGACAGACAGACAGAGAGAGACAGAGAGAGCCTTGTAACTATCTGTTGTACCCCAAAATTTTCCCTCTCTCTTTTCAAGACTTTTCTAACAAATATTTTAAAAAGCTCAAGTTTGCACAAGTACAATTGGACTTTTAAATGCCCCATATAGTTCCCATGGATCACATTGGGCTTTCAAGCATCAAATCAAATAAGAGCAAGCTTGCTTCGATTTCCCAAGCTTCGACTGGACTTTGGCCTCCTTCAAGCTTGCTTCGATTTCCCAAGCTTCGACTGGACTTTGGCCTCCTTCAAGCTTACTTCGATTTCACAAAGCAGTGGCTTCCTTCATGTTTGCTTCGATCCACTGAGCAGTGGCTTCTTTCATGCTTGCTTCGGTTAACAAAGAAGTGGCTTCCTTCATGCTTGCTTCGATCCACTGGGCAGTGGCTTCTTTCATGCTTGCTTCGATTAACAAAGCGAGGGCTTCCCTCATGCTAGCTTCGACTCCATCTCTAAACCCTTCAACACACATAGTTTCTACACTATGACACACAATTAGTGGATTCGAAGAACATACAAAAGGTCCATTTGAAGAACATGAATTTGGTGCATTCGAAGAACATGAATTTGGTGGATTCCAAGAACACATATTTGGTGGCCCATTCGAAGAACATAAATTTGGTGGATTCGAAGAACCTATAATATGGTTCATTCGAAGGACATAAAATATATTCCATTCGAAGAATATTCAATTGGTCCATTCGAAGGACATACAATGGGTCCATTCAAAGAACACACAATTGGTGGAAACAAGTATTGTTTTGTCTTTTGTTGAGTTTGTTGAAGACTGATGAACAAAGTCCTATATGCTGCCAAGCCCAAGTCTGTTGTACTGCTATGAAACAATCCTGCACCAAGCTACCACAACACTCCAAAACTGCTGCAAAGCAGTCCTGCTATGCTGCACCTAATTTGCACCAAACTAGCATATAAGAGCTGCACCTCGAAAGCTATGAAAACAGCATACCCAAACTGTTCAAATTTCATTTGTTTCCTCCCCCCCCCCCCCCCCACAAATCTCAGCTGAACTCTTCTATAAATAAGATGTTTCACAATACATCTAGAGGTGGCTTTTTAGTGGCTGGAGAGAGGTTTGTTGGCAAGGCAAAGAGAGAAGAGAACATTTAAAACACTCTTAAGCCCAGAACCAAAAAACCCACACCTTTGCTTCTTTTCAAATCCATAACCAAAGAAACACAATACCCCTATTCTCTGCTTTCGAATTCAAGAGTATTCAGGGCAGCAACTCAAAGTTCAAAACACCAACTCCAGATTCAAGGTAAGTCTTCCTGACTTTAAACCTTTCGTTTCAAGCATCATTGATAACTTTTTGTTTGTTTTCGTTTCTATCATTTTGTTTGTTTTCCTTTATTGTCAAGAACTAATTTGTACAGACCATAAAACAACGTTGGAGTAAAAAATAACAGCATGGTTCGACACAAAGCCTTAGGCTTCGAACATACTGCTTTACAGGCCCAAACGAAAGGAAAAGAGGTTGTGTGAATCGAAGGATACATGCTTCGATACACCCTGCTTCACAGTACCAAATGAAAGAAAACAAAAAAAGGTGTGAGTCGAAGGGTGTATGCTTCGATACACACTGACTTGCAGTCCCAAACAAAAGAAAACAAAATAGGTGTGTGAATCGAAGGACACACGCTTCGAACGCGCTGCATGAATCGGAGGACTTGTTCTTTCTCTCTTTTGTGCTATTTTTTGTCTTTATATTTTTTATATATTTTCTTTCATTGCTATTCAATATGGTTATAATAATTAAGACTTTTATTTCTTTCCACCCCCCCCCCCCCCATTTGTACATTTGTATCCCCCATCCCCTAAAATGATGTAATAGCTTAGGATTTTAATTTCCGCATTTTACCGCTTTAATATAAATGGTTAGTAATTAGGGTGTGTATGGAAAGATAAAATCAACAAGTAGAAAACCCTAAATTCAAAGACAAAAATGCATGCAATCAAACACACTATTCATACACGTGCACCTCTAGGGTAACCTCGCTTGTTGCCTTGGAAAATAGTCATGTCCCTCGAATATGGGTGTTTTAGCAAAGACCCTCGATAAAAAAGATCGTAGTCCCTCGATGTCCCTCGATGTTGCATTCGGTAAACGATCTAGTCCCTTACGAAAATTGCTAAAACGTCTCATAAGTTGCCTTCTATGACTATACGATTGACCCACGCCTGTCCCTTCACATCCAACGATGGGGCTTCTTACCAATAAATGGTAAGATAACAACATCTAAAGGAGGAGGAAAAGAACATAGACCTTTTGAGTAGGTAGGACGCTCGTAGTTGCTTGCTCACAAATCAAAACCATTTTCCACACTTACACTTTCAAAACATTTTCAAAAACAAACATCTCTTTGAACTAAGAGTTTTTGGTTGTATAGCCTATGCTCACATTAGGCAATACAATATCAAACCTAGAGCTCTGAAATGCATGTTCATGGGATACCTCGAAGGAATCAAAGATTATAGGCTACGGTGCCTAGAGCCACGTCACAGAAGGTGTATCACCAGTCGAGATGTAGTTTTCAATGAAGCTGAAATGGCTTTCAAAAAAACTGATGATATTGATCAAAGTGCATAAATATCTAACGAAGAGCTGGAACAAGTAGAGATTCCTGTTGAGGTGGAGTATGTTGATGTTGAATTGCGTATCCCAGATGAAGTTGAAGAAGTAGAAGATGTAGAGGAAGTTGAGGAAACTACCAATGACTACCTATTGGAAAGAGATAGGACGAGAAAAGTCATTAAGCCACCTCAGAGACTTGGTTATGCAGATCTTATAGCTTATGCCTTAATCTCTGCAAGTGAGGTTCTAGATGAAGAACCTAGAGACCATAAGGAAGTTATGAGGAGTCGAAATAAGACTAAATGGATGAAGGCCATGGATGGTGAGATGAAATCTATTCATGATAGCAACACTTGGGAACTGATTAAGAAACCTACTGGAGCCAGGTTAGTCAGTTGTAAATGGATTTTCAAAGTTAAGGGAGGAATCGAAGGAGTGGCGTCAAAAATATACAAGGCAAGATTGGTTGCAGGGGGTTTCACTCAGAAAGAAGGTGTCGACTTCAATGATGTGTTTTCTCCTGTTGTGAAGCACGGGTCCATTGGAATGTTGCTTGCCATGGTGGCACAGTTCGACCTTGATTTGGAACAAATGGATGTGAAGACTACGTTCTTGTATGGTGATCTAGATGAAACAATCCTGATGAGGCAACCTGAAGGGTATGTCAAAAATGGAAAAGAAGATTATGTGTGTAAGTTGAAAAGATCATTATATGGGCTGAAAAAATCTCCTCGACAGTGGAATAGCATATTCGACAAGTTCATGACACGTATAAGTTTCATTAGAAGTTATTTTGACCAATGTGTTTACTTCAGATTTCTACCTGGTAATTCATTTGTTATTTTGTTGCTTTATGTTAATGATATTCTCATAGCAAGCAACAATGTCGAAGATGTAATGAGGGTGAAGACTGAACTCAATAAGGAGTTCGAAATGAAGGATCTGGGAGATGCATCCAGGATTCTTGGGATTGACATTCGAAGAGATAGAAAGCAGTCGAAATTATGCTTATCTCAAGAGGCATACCTACGGAAGATTCTTGAGAAGTTCGGTATTTCAAATTCAAAGCCTATTGTGACTCCAACAAACCCTCAATTCAAGTTGTGTATAGATCAGTTTCCCAGTATTGATGTTGAAAGAGTTTATATGAATCACATCTCATATGCTAATATAGTAAGTTCTCTGATGTATGATATGGTTTGTACTAGACCCGACATAGCATATGTAATAAGTCTTGTAAGCAGGTACATGGCGAATCCTGGAAAGGCTCACTGGCAAGCATTGAAGTGGATTCTAAGATACACAAATGGTTCTCTGAACAGAGTCCTTATTTATGGTGGAGCCTTAGGTAAAGATAGTAAAGCAGTAATCGAAGGATATGTCGACTCTGATTATGCAGGTTGTATGGATTCCAGAAAATTCATTTATGAATATGTTTTAACTATGTTTGGCACAACAATCAGTTAGAAAGCGAAACTTCAGAAGGTTGTTGCCTTATCAACCACTGAAGCAGAATATATTTCCCTCACTGAAACTGTGAAAGAAGCATTGTGGCTTGAAGTTTTTGCTAAGGATCTGAAACTTTAAGGTTAAGTTATCACTGTTAAATGTGATAGTCAAAGTGCAATACACATGTCGAAGAATTCAATTTATCATGAGTGAACCAAGCACATTGATGTGAGGTTGCATTTCGTTAGAGGGGTAATCGAGCGTGGAGAAGTCAAAGTGCTGAAGGTTTCAAAAAATCATAATTTTGCTGATATGATCATCAAGACATTGCCTAGTTGCAAGTTTTTCCACTGTATGCAGTTGGTAAAGCTGCATGAAGAAAGAAAGTGTGTTCCTTTGATGTTAGAGTTTGTTCCAAGGTGGAGATTTGTGAGATATTGGATCGAACTCTATTGGATCGAAGGATAGCTTCTTGGTTTCAACAGTTCGACAAAGTTATAGCATGCAGTCGAATGTTACTCACATGCTGGTGTCGAAGTATTGTATATTATAGTCGAAGAAGGATCAAGCATGCAGTGGTCAAAGAATGCTAGGATTGTGAACATCGAATTAGGCCTGTTTGTTATGTCCAATTGTTTAAGTTAGCTTCTACCCTTATTTATTTTTTGATCATAAAGAAACAAATGTATACTTTGTTTCGAGGTATCGTTTTTCATAACACACAAGAAACAAATAGAAAGACTCAAGACAAACCTATTACCGCACAACTAATATATTTCTTCAAAAACAATCTTTATAAATTTCTAGTGGAACTAAAATAGAAATAAATCTTATCTAAATGTTGAAGCGATATCAGATAGTGTAGCACGCGTTAAGAGTCTACCTGAATTAGAATATCTCACAACAAATCAAGACATCTTATTATTTAACAAGTTCCATACAAACATTAACCAATCTATGATAATTTATTAAAAATTTGTTGTATATAACCATTGTCTTAATTTAATGAAAAAAGTTACATTCACTTAATTTAACTCATTTCAATTTAGTAAGTTCCTTTATTTAGTTACAAGAAACACAATTTTTTTCTTTCTTATGTTTTCAACAACAAATTGTTCCCAAAATTTGATAAACTAAAATATGAATATTGCATGAGATTCTCATAATAAATCATGAATTCATTAAAGCAAAAAAATATTAAAAATTTGGACACATTTTAGGTGAGCCAAATTTAAAATTCTTCACGATTCAATGATATTTTCAATAACTAACTTTATGGGCATGTATTATGATAATGAATGAAATGCTCATTAAATAAAGGCCAAACGAAGAATCGAATATGCACTTATGCATATACCAAAAGGCAACTCAACACTAGACAAAACCCTCAATATATTGTCACAGGGTTGATTTGGAAGTATACTTATGAACACTTATTTATGACTCAGGCAAGAATATAATAGATACAAGTGTATTAGTAAAATTGGGGTGTGGAAATCATTTCTTATTTATCTATAACTTCTTATCTCTCTACCGCCTTCACAAAATAGGTTAAATGACTGGAATATTATACTAATTTAAATTAAATAAAATATTTATTTTCATTTGTATAGATATTTAAGAATGTTTTTTACCAAATATTTAAAAAATGACTAATTTTTGAAAAATATAGAGTGCTTAATTTTTTTAAATTTGTATTTAACTATAAAGCTGAATCGATCTAACTCAATCGTAATTAGATTTTATTAATATGTAAAATTTTAAAGATTTTTTGATCAAATAGTTTGATATCTCTGTATCACTATTAATTGAGCTAAAAATATTTATTAATATGACATTCAAAATACATTTTTGATGGATATTTAAAATTGTTGATAACTTAATGAAAAAATACATAATGGTTTTTTAAATATCTGATACTGTGATTTTTCAAATGTTAAACAAATGGGGTAACTTAGAATTAATGTATTTTATAGAGTGGGAGGTATAGGTGCTGCATTGGGGGAAAGATTGCTCTAGTGGCCAATTGTAAGACTTCACAATCAGTATACCAAAACTTTTTCATAAGTCCAAGCCTATGCCCGTTTGCTTTATATATAAATTAGATGTCACAATGGATAATAAACTTAAAAACTTACTAATAACATTTAAAATAAAAGATTTATTAATAAATTTTAATATTTAAATTTAATTTAATCTCTTATTTATTTATTTATTTATTTATTTACTTAACTATAATTTTATTCTCTATCATCACTCTACACTTTGATCTTGACACTCCGCACGAGAAACATCTATTACAATTATATCTTTATTAAAAATTAGTAAAAGATCCGTACAAATATACGGTAAGTCAATTCTTAAGATGAATAATATATTATAAATGAAATTAAAAGAGTTATATATATATATATATATATATATATATATATATATATATATATATATCGTAGATGAAATAAATATTTAATTATAATTGTTACATATATAATTGTAAAGTATTATAAAATTGTTAGGTTATTGGTGTTATATAATTTCACAAATAACTGCAAAACAAATTAAAATAAATATATCGTAAATCACCAACTTAATAAATCTAATATGTCTAATAATTATAAATATTACTAATAATTATAAATATTTATAATTATTTTATTAGATATTATGGTGATAGTGATCTGTGTAAATAGTAAGTTTTAATGATAAAATTAACAGGAGTTGATAAATTTACAAATATCACTCTCATTATTCCTTTACTATACAATAATAAATTTATAATTGTAGTCATAAAATTCACAAAAGTTGCATTATAAATCATATGATTAAATACGTGTTTGGTCCCTCTAAATATCTCAAATTTCATTTTCAATCCCTCAAATATTTTCCTTCAAGGATTGGTCTCTTCAAAAAATTTCGTCTGAATAATTGGTCATCAACGTCAAGTTCCACTAATGGCTTCCTATGTGACAAGACAGGTGGATTAAATAATTTATTTTATTTTCTGATGTGAACTTCATTACATAATAAGTGGCATATCTCATGTTTTAAAATCATATTTTATCGACAGTGGTCCCTCTCTCCAATAGTGGTATCTCCATCTTGTGGTGTCAATATTGACGAATCTTGAGTTGGTTGTTGCATTGCTGCAGTCCCAACAACGATTAGGTAAGTTACACTTGTTATAGTTTATTCATTCTGAGCATTGATTGCATGACCCGTGTGCTGGTCCTAAATTCTAGGGGTTTTGGTTTTAATCTGTTGATAATGTCTGAGTTACCCTTGTTTTTTCTTGAAATGTATAGGCAATGGGGTTATTTAAGGTTGTCTTTTATACGAAAGGGTCATTTGTAAAGGATGAAGGGTCAAAATATGAAGGGGGGATGTTTACGATGTATGTGGGCAAGATCTTAATTTATGGTCATACTTTGAAGCATGTGACTTAATTAAGTGTATGGATTCATCGTTTAAAACTGAAGATGTGAAAATATGGTAGAAGTCTTAACATGGCTCACTTGAAAATGATCTAAAACCCCTTGTTAATGACGAGGATGCAACAATGTTAGCTATGTGTGCCGAGGAGACTAAGTGTGATGTAGAGATATATAAAGAGACAAGATTATCTAGTGGTGAGAAGACTTATATGGAGAGGTTAAAAGAGAAAGGAAAAGGCCATGTTAATGTTGAGGAAAATGAAGATGGTGAAGACAATGAATCATCTGAAGACTCTTTGAATGGTATACACTTTGAAGATAGTGAAGAAGAGAGGATGCATAATTTTTATGAAGACATAGGTGAAGGTGCTAGTATAGGTAGAGTGGATAATGGTGATGGTACAAGTCAAATGGATAATGGTCAAGGGATACATAAAGGGTTAACTACAACTGAGATCCAAAAGGAACATGTAATTGAGGATGATTACATCACATATAAGCTTGATAATGGGGCAAATGATGATAGTGATAATGCAGGATCCAAAAAAAGGGTTAGTAACTCAAACTGAACAAAAACTTTACATTAGAAATTCATATATAATTTTCAATATCTTGTTACCATTATGTTGGATGCAGGGTGGGCCAAAAGGTACAACCAAAAAAGGAAGTACATCTAAGAAATCCAAGGCTACTGCAGAAAATGGGTGTGAGGTTACTGCAGGAAATGAGAGTCAGGCTACGGCAGGAAATGGGAGTCAGGCTACTGTAGGAAATAAGGCTCAAGCACCAACTACAAAAAATATGAGTCATGCTACTCAACCTGAAGAAAACTATGCACCAACTGATGTGACACCTACTCAACATGGGGTACACCTTTCACAAAATTCAGTTACCTTATCTGAGGCAATGAAAATATATTATGGTATAGATCCTGATGAATTAGAGGCATTGTTGAATGATGATGACATACTAGATATTCCACCATTAAGAATTGATACTAGTCCTGCAAAGAATAATATGCCTGGTCCCAAAATCTTTATTGGTAAATGTCCTAAGGCATCAAAACCTGTTGTCAACCCAACTATGAGTGATCATGTAAGTTTGTAACTTGTTCTGATAGAATTATTTGGCATGTTATGTTTTTTTACCTTGATAACACTATATTTTCATAATAGGTGAAAATCATGATATCACCAAAGAAAAAGTCAAAGATTGTTGCATCTCCAATTAGGAAGAGTGACAGACTTAGGACTTTGATGACAAAGAATATAGAGGGGTATGGAAGGGATCCAAATGATCCATTTGTAATACCTGAAGAAGACTCAACTATTGGCAGTTCTAGGAGAAAGAAGAAATGGGATGACATCCAGAAGAGCGTGACTCAGTGAAAACTCAAGTGTGACACAAATTTGTTTTGGTTGTACCTTATGTCTCATGAACCTAGTGTTTTGTTATGTAATATGAAACAAATGAATGATGTATTATGAACCAAGTGTTTTGCTATGTACTTTGTAATGTGCTTTGTTATGCCTTTTGTAATGTGTTTTATTATGCATTTTGTAATGTGCTTTGTTATGCACTTTGAACCTTTAATGTATTTTGTACTCATGTCTATGTATTTGCTTTGTAATATGCTTTGTTATGCACTTATGTCTCAGTATTATTTTGTACTCATGTCTCAGAATGTGCTTTGTTATGCACTTCACAGTCAAATTACAAGTTTTTTATACCAAATATTGAAATTATATCAACTTAATCATAACAAATAATATTGATAACAATTCCGCACCTATAATTGATAACAATTTAGCAACTACAATCAAGTACATTTATCAAGTACATTGAAGCAAGACCTACAATCACAGTACATTCTCATTACATTAAATAATTCAGCAACTACAATTGATAACAAAATACACATTTATCATAAATGATACAACAAGACACAACATCTTCAATCTTCCTTGAAATTTCTCAGTTTTCAATTTGGTCTTCAAGTTCTTGTTCTTCTTCCTTGAATCATCATACAAGGACTTCATAATCCCACAGATGTCATGGCTTCCAACTCTGAGTTCTTAATGGTAACATCTTCATTTCTAGATTTTACGCCAAGATCTTCATCCCATATGAATAGATTACACGTATCAGAACTCTGCCAATAAGGACATCTCCAAAACAACCTACCCTTATTTGGTCCATTCTTGCAACAATACGATACCATCTAAACCTGACAGACACAAAACTTCCCAACTCGCGATTTCACTGAAGCATAAGACATTATGTTATGCAGCTGAAAGATGACGAAGATGAAAGAAGAAAGAAGATGAAACACTGAACCAACTCTTGTGCGCAGATTTTCACGAAGAAGAATGTGAACAAAGAGGAAAGGAAAGGAATTAGGTCAAATTGCATGTGACTCATCTTTAATAAAGGGCCAGTGTACACGCTTTATTTCATGGAAATATATAAAACAAATTATTTAGTCCACCTGTCTTGCCACATAAAAAGCCGTTAGTGAAACTTGACGTTGGGGATCAATTATTCAGACAGAAAATTTTGAAGGGACCAATCATTGAAAGAAAATATTTGAGAGAATAAAAATGAAATTTGAGATATTTAGAGGATTCAAAAACTTATTTAACACTAAATTATAAAATTTAGTGATTATACATAAAAATTGACCCAACTTATATATATATATATATATATATATATATATATATATATATATATATATATATATATATATATATATATATATATATATATATATATATATATATATATATATATATATATATATATATTGTTTTAATTTTATGTTTTGACTTTATCGACAAATTTTATAGCCACATTTTTTTAAATGGTATGTGTTCTAGAAGTCTCGACTTTTTATATTCAAAATTATTTATTTATTACTCTAATTGATTTTTATTTAATATATTTTATTTATTCATATAATTATAAATTAAATATATTTTTAATCTCTATAATAAAAATTAAAAATAAAATTAAAAATATTTATAGAGATTAATAATATATTTAATCTTATAATTATTAATTATTTTAATCCTAATTTTCGGACATAAAAACTTCAACTATTTTTTCTTTATGATTTTAACTTTTCTAACTTCTAAATTTAAACCTTAATGATACTCTAAAAACTATAAATTAAAAATAAATGAAAAAAATTCAACTGAAATAAAAACTATAAATTAAAAAAAATTAAAAATATTTGAACGATAAAATTTAACTATCAATATATTATTTTTTATAAAACTTTATTATAAATAATGTTTCTCTATCCACTATAATAGAATTATTGATCGAAAGAGTATCTATACAACTTTTTTCCATAAATAGATAATAGTAGTCATAGATATAAGTAATATACATACGCATATAAGCACTTTTAATTCTATATTATTTATTACATAGTTGCTTTCGTATAAGCACAAAAAGTTGCAATGGTGTTGAAAGGATAAGTGCACATGGACTTGATCTTAATTATCGTTATGTACTTTAACAAAAGTGGAATCACTGCTACAATTTAGGTTCTGAAATACAACACAAAACACGGTAAAACTTCAGACATTATAGAGATGGATTTCTCTATTGTTTGAGAATGGTGAATTATAATCTTTGTGAACACGATAACGACAATGGAAACGAAAACAAAATGCCGAGAATACCTTAATGGAAATGCGAGAATCTGGATCTGAAAGAAGAAAAAACAGGTGTTGTTGGAGAGAGAGCGATGTTGGACTAAAAAAATGAGAGGAAAATTGAGTTATGAAGTCTAACGGTTTTTATCCAGCATAAGCATGTTTGTAAATAGAAAGGAAGAGGAAAGAACATGGAGGTGAAATCTGGATATGAAGATGAATATGAACTGTCGAAAAAATCATGTTCTTGGGAGAGAGAAATGAAATCTGAAATGAGAGGAATAGTAGTGAAAAGTTGAGGAAATGGAAAAGTAATGTAATATGATAATAGGTTTATCCGGATATTGGTGTGTACCAAGGAAAATTTGAAAAAAATGTGTGACTTTTGTAAAATGAGTGCCACTTAGATGTAAGGGGGAAATATCATTGGTCAAATTTTAGTTGAATTAGTAAATTACTATTAAGGGCATTTCTTAGTGAAAAATAATTATGAGAGAAGGGTAATTTAGGGTATTAATAAGCATGTATTATTCTTAGTTATGTAATTTATGCTTGAAGCTTTCATTGGTAGGTGTTTGCATAAAGGCTATAGACAAATTATGTTTGTAATGAAATTTGTGATTTTAGGCTTTATGTAGTTAATATGTGTGATACGAACACTTCGTGCCATTGCGATTTGATTCCTTTTCCTATTTTACTATACGTTTTAGCATGATAATGCAAAATGTATAATTGCAGAGTCGTTATCATCGTTGGATGATTCTTTATCTGCAAGTGATGGATAAAAGGTGTGCGCCGGATATCAGGTGTCGTGTGTAAGCGTTTCTATGTGTTAACCATTGTCTCTAAGGATTATCGAGTGTGACAAAGGAGGAGCTCAACAGTGTTATGAGTCATCCTAAGGTCGGTTAGTTATCATGTATTCTGTATCATTATTTTTTCGTTCACACGTCCCAATTTTTAAGGTCACTAAATTCATTCATTGTGGCGAGCGCGATAGCTGAATTTGAACCAAGAAAATCAAGTTAAACATTTATTTGGTAGGTTTACGGATTCGAACCATCGTCTTCTTCATCTCGCGCGTAACCATGAGTTCTCCAACTCTGTTACAGTCAATGATGCTTATGGGTGCACTGTGTTTTCCCAACGACATTGCTTGGTCTGAGGAGAATCTCATTGTTGTTGCTTCAGGTTACATTGTTACCATACTTGTACTACTTTATTTCTCTTTCTCTGCTCATTACTTCATGATTGTGACATAAAATTCAACTGTTAATAACTGTTTTGTGCTTCTTTTTCAAAGACCTGACTCGCCTAATGGACCACGTGGCATGATTGTGACATAAAATTCAACTGTTAATAACTGTTTTGTGCTTCTTTTTCAAAGACCTGACTCGCCTAATGGACCACGTGGCTTGATTCAAGTCTTCTCCGACGAGCCTCGAATTTTAGGGTTTGTGGAAAGAACATGTATTTGAACTTCTATGAAACTTTGCCTCGTGTCATTATAGTGCAGACTTTTCTATGAAATGGTAGATGATAGACAAATGTATCTAGGCATATTGTGCAGCTTATAACATACGCAGCTTATAACATACGCAACATATAAGCTATTTGCATAAAGTGAATTTGTCAGTTGTGGACTCTATTTCTTATCAGTAAGATGAGTTTATTAATAACACATCATATTGAATATTTAAGTAGTGGAATATGTACTTTGTTACAGTCAATCTTAGAGTTATTGGCTAGGAGTATTGCACAACAGTATGTTTTAACAATCTATCCTTGTGTCATGAAAATTTGTATGCGATTTTCAGTTACCATTGACTCAATATTCATGTGCAGATCTTCGCGTTTTTATTCTCAAGTAATACAAATCTTTTTATTTTGGTGATGTTGTGGTAACCATGTGTTTTGTATCTCCGTTGTTCATAATATATTTGTTGTGTTGATACAGCTTCCAAACATTGGATGTTCTGAACTTCATTCCTCTAAACAACATGCCCATTTGTATTATGTATTCACATCATGATCCTAGCATCCACAAAAGTGGTCAAGGAAATATATTTATTAAGGTATAATAATCTCCATTTTTCCATCCTTGTCTGATAATGGAAAAAATCACGCTAAGCTTCCGGGTTGCATATCCTAGATTGACATGTTTGAGCTATTTTGGATGTTTATAATATATATATTGATTATTGTAGAATTTGGACAAGGAAATTGACCATAAGGCTTTGCATGATACCTTTTCTACATTTGGGAGTATCCTTTCTTGCAAGGTAGTTGTGGATGGATCTGGCCAATCAAAAGGCTACGAATTTGTTCAATTTGATAGTGAGGAGGCTGCTTAAAAAGCTATTGAAAAGCTTAATGGTATGCTGTTTAATGATAAGCAAGTTTATGTGGGACCCTTCCTTCACAAGCAAGAGAGAGAGAGAGAGACTACAGTTGACAGGGTAAAATTCAACAATGTTTTTGTTAAGAATCTATCAGAAACAACCACTGATGATGAGTTGAAGCAGATTTTTGGAGAATTTGGAACAATTACCAGTGATGTAGTAATGAGGGATGAGGATGGGAAATCAAAGTGTTTTGGATTTGTAAACTTTAAGAGTACCAATGATGCTGCTATGGATGTTGAGGCTCTTAATGGAAAGAAAATTGATGACAAGGAATGGTATTTTGGAAAAGCTCAAAAGAAATCTGAAAGAGAGCATGAACTAAAACAAAAATTTGAGCAGAGCATGAAGGAAGCCGCTGATAAATATCAAGGGCATGTATGTAAAAAATTTGGATGATAGCATTGTTGATGACAAACTTAAGGAGTTGTTCTCCTCTTATGGTACAATTACCTCTTGCAAGGTATATATAGTTGCTATGATTGGTTTCTCACTAAATACCCACCTGCTACATAATCTATACACTACTTTCATTTCACTTGAAAGGTAATGAGAGACCCCAACAACATAAGTCGAGGATCTGGGTTTGTTGCATTCTCTACTCCTGAGGAGGCATCTAGAGCAGTAAGTCATATGGTATATTCATGGTTAATAAAACAGGTGGATTTTTTAAATAGTTTATAAGCTGTTCTCATAACCTATTTGATGATTTTATAGAAATGATCTGAAAATAATTTATGAACATGTTAGTATCCTGTAGGCTGTTTTCGTAAGTTCTACTGAGTTGTGTCACCAACTTATGAACACGACATGGACAGCGACACCGATAATGTTAAAAACATAGGACACAAATACCACTTTTTGAAGGGTGGTTATTGCGTATGCAAAACTTATTTTTCTTTCTCGTATTAAGGTTTGGATTGTGTTTTTGTTATAATTTTAATGGATATTTAGTTGTGTGTTTGTTATTTTTTTGTAATATATGTTGAATTTTATCTAAATTGTGTTTTTGGATCTGCAGTATGGCAGGTTTGGCTCTGGAGGGTTTGCAATTTGATGCGAAGCAGTACGACACTAAGATGAATGAATTGTAAGTAATGGAGTAATGCATTATTTGTGTTTGTGTTTGTATATCATGTAATTTTAACATTTGGAAATTGATTTCATGCTTTCCACTGATGGACAAAAACTCATCACCACTTATGATGAAGTCTATGATACTTTTGATTCTATGGGATTGCAAGAAAATCTTCCGAGAGGCATATATGCTTATGGTATATGGATGATTTTTTTTCGTTGTTTCTTTAACCACTTATTAAAAATGTATAATAGAGGCACCGTTGATGCTCTCATTGTCTATGACATTAGCCGGAGAACTACCTTTGATAGTGTCGGTATATGGATCGATGAACTCAAGCAACAGTGCACCTGATAAATGAAATTTATCTAAATGAGTAAACTCGAGTTCTTGTCGAGCATCTAATTTCAGGTTTGACAATGTGCGAAAATCTTCATCTTTTACGGATTCGAAATTCCAGTTGGTCTTTTATGGGCATATAACAACCTTCCTCCATGGCGTTCCAGGATGAAAGAAGTGTCAAAATGAGCTCGATACAGAATCAGCAAGCAGTAGTGCTGATTATGTTGTTTCTGGTACGCAAGAAAACAAAAGCATTAAGATTGATATCGATGAATTAAAGAAGCGACAAAAGGATCTGGAGAGAGAATCTGCAATCATTACTATTGATTTGAAGGAAAAGTTAGGTTCAATTTATGATTAGGAAAAGCCATCCTTAACTGAATTGAGAACTGAAGCTTATAAGATTTATGTAACGGATTGTAGATTTAAGGGGATAACTGTTATTCGTGAACTTGATGAGATGGGATATGCGAAGGTGGTGGATTTGTTTGGTGGCATTGTGAAGGATCGTCACTTTGTTAAGTTCTTGAATGATCCTGTTAGGAAAGAGAAGATTGAAAACTTCTTCAAGGAGTATGTTGGTGGTGCTGATTGTTGGAAATCCACCAATACTCTATGATGAATTTCGACCACCACTGATGATTAGTTATGAAACAAACTAAGAAAAGACAATAGAATTATTTCTGCAGAGTTTCTCTCTGCCCACAAACTGTGTAAACTTTATTAATTCACTTTGCAACTGCAAAATACTGTGAATGAGTTCAATGACTTGAATACAAAATAAGGGTTACTCCCTCTTATTTATAGATTTAGGTTAGCTTGCTCCCTAAGTTAAACCCAAGCCCAAAATATCTCTTTACTAAATCAAATCTAATCTAGATTTAAATTCAAATCTATTTAAATCTAAACAAATCAAATCTTATTTTGACACCTATGAATTACAATTTAACACACCACCTAATTCATTGTGTCTAAACTGTCTATGTTCATCATGGCCCTTAGTTTTCTGAATACTTCGACCTGCACTCCCTTCGTCATGATGTCTGCAATCTGATTCTCAGTTCTGCAGTGTTCCAAATTCATCTTCCCATCTGCTACCCGCTCTCGAAGATAATGGAACCTCATTTCGATGTGCTTACTTCGACCATGTGCTATTGGGTTCTTCGCCAGATTGATAGCTGACATGCTGTCTATCTTCATGGTAATTGCTCCATGATTTTTCCCTGTTATCTCTTCGACCAAGTTCACCATCCAGGTTGCTTGGCATGCACAAAGAGAAGCAGCTATGTATTCTGCTTCGCATGATGATAATGCTACTACTGGTTCTTTTCTCGAACTC